TGAAAGAAACTCTTCATATTCTAATAATATCATATTTAATTAAGAAAAACTTTCAACTATGTGGCCAGACGAAGGAAAAAACGTTTGATTCGTACTTTAAACGATATGAAGATATTTTCCACACAGACTGTGAAAACTGGTCGAATTCAAGAAAAGTCAGTCTATTACTAAGAAAGCTAGGTACAGCAGAACATAGCAAATTTGTAGATTTTATTCTACCGAGAAGAACAAATGAATTGGAATTCTCGGAAACAGTGAAATTGCTAAAGGAGTTGTTTGGAGCAAATATGTCGCTTTGGCATAAGCGATGGTTATGCATGAATGTCGCTAAATCCGGCGATCAGGATTATAATTCCAACTTATGCATCTATAGTGAATAGACATTGTGACAATTTCAGATTGGCAGAGATTTTGGTTGAAGAATTCAAGTGTTTAATTTTTGCTCAAGGTCTGGTTATCCAGTAAAATTGCCGAAATAAGATTTAGAGTTTTTTTCTAAACTCGAATCTGAACAAAAATTACCCTGCAAAAGTTAGCAGAGGAGTGTCATGGGCCGTAAGTTTAAAGAAAGAGTCTCAAAAAATTGAAGAAGCTGGTATTGCTTATATTAAAAAAATAAAAGAAACAGTCAAATTACCCATCAGAAAAAAAAGGATTAAAAATTCGGCGTATTTAAAAAAATAGAAAAAAAAATTAAATGAAAAGAATGAGGAAGGAAAAAAAAATGGTTCCACCATTTAATTGTAGATGTTATGCAATAAAAAGACATTGGGAGGTAAATTGCCCATATAGAAATAAAAAAAATTTCAGTGTTTATTGCCACAAGAATGGATATAAAATTAGAGATCGTGTTGATAAATAGTTAAAAGTCAATAGCCGAATTAGTCAAACAAATTCAAATATCAAATCAGATAGAGATTTGAGGAAATATGTAACGGTTTCAATATTTAAAAGAATATCAAATTTCAACTATATTTATGTTACAGATTTAACAATAATGAACTATAAAACATGGAAAATTTTAAAAAATTATTATTATTATTAAGTCAATTATTTTGCCTCCGAACAGTGACTGGAAAGGAAATTAAATTGAAGGCGAGGTTGTACTTCCCATGAAAATGAACAGGATATTAAAAAATAAAAGTTTCATTCTGAAAAATGGAGAAAACTTGATGGGTACATTTTTATTGAAACATTTCAATTGTGGGATAAACCGTTAAACTTTTCTGCAGAAAAGTAGAAAACAATCATAAACAAGACAGGACATTAATGAGGAATTAAAAAAAAGTTTCCGAAATTTTCACACCTGGTCTTGGAAGATGTAACAAGTTTGAAGCCAAATTCGAATTAAAGGAAAATACTATGCCAATTTTTGAAAAAGAAACGTAATGTGCCTTGTTTTTTATAGAAAAATTAACAAAGAACTTGATAGTTTGGAAAAAATGGAATTATTTCAAAAGTAGAATCTAATTCATTGGCTTTGATCACGATTGTGTGCATAAAAAATAAATCAAACCAAGTCAGAGTCTGCGTTGATTTTTTGACAGGGTTGAACTCTTTAATTAAGGCTACCATTACCATTACCCGTCCGGAGGAGATTTTTAACAAGCTAAATGGTGGAGTTATATTTTCAAAATTGACTTATCAGATGCCTATCTCCAAATTCCCGTCGAAGAGGAATGTTCAAAGTTACTAGGGATAAACACGCCCAGGGTTATTCAAGTACAACAGGCTTCCTTTTTGGTATTAAAGTGGCACCTGCCATTTTTTTACAAGCTATGGACGTCATGCTGAATGATTTAGACTTTAGCGTGCGCTTATTAGACGACATCATAGTAAGGAGCAATCGGTCGATTTAACATCGAGAGAGCATCTCAATCAAGTTTTTAAAAAAATTCAGGACTTTGGATTTAAAGTCAAAGAGTCAAAGTCTTAATTTGGTTTGGAGAAAATAAAATATTTAGGGCACATAATCAACAAAAATGGCAGATGTCCAGATCCGGAAAGGTCCATTGGAAAGAGAACATGCCGACGCCCACTAATGTGGCGATGCTACAAAATTTTCTAGGGCTTGCAAATTATTATCAAGCGTTCATTAAAGGAATGTACAATTTAAGAGCTCCGTTGAATGAACTGCTAAAAAAAAGACAAGGCATGGGAATGGACGGTAGAATGTCAAAAGCCTTTGATGAAATAAAGAAAATGCTTACGTCCGACCTCTTTTTAACCCATTACAATCCAAAACTGGATATTGTAGTTTCAAGTGACGCTAGTTCATACGGGATAGGAGCGTGTATTCAACACATAATGCCAGATGGTTCTAGAAAACCAATTGCACACGCTTCAGAACTTTGCTCCCAGGAGAAAGAAGTTACTCTCAGATAGAAAAAAGAGGCACTGAGTATCATTTTGCCATACAAAATTTCACAGGTACATCCACGGCAGACATTTTATCCTTGAATGGGATCATAAACCACTGATCACCATTTTGGTTCAAAGAAAGGGTTACCCGTTTATACAGCAAATCGTCTGTTAAGATGGGGAACCATTCTTCTCAATTATGATTTTCACATAAAGCACCTATCATCCAAAAAGATAATTCATGCGGATAGTCTATCAAGACTAGTTCCGAGGCAAGAAGAAAGATTCAAGAATCAATTATTTGTTCCTATCAGAGCAGATTATGAGGTGAAAAGCATGGTAAACAACATTGTAAGAGAGCTACCGTTACGTAAATGAAATTAAAAAGAAGCTGAAAGCGATGATTTCATTTAGAAATTAAAAAAACAAAATGGTAGCGAATGACCAAAAAGTGCAGGAGATTTATTCAATAGGTGACGGAGTTTTATTATATTTGGTGAGAGAGTAGTAATACCAAAAAGTTGCAGAAAAAAAAAACTTGGGACTTTCATATGGGTCACCCGGTATTAATAGAACAAAAAGCTTAATGATTGAATATGTATTGGAAAGGAATGGATGTGGATATCGAAAACATGGTTCATCGAAAAAAAATTGTAGTTAGCAGCTAAAACCACCTATAGTATACAAACCATGGCCCAAGACGGATCATCCGTGGACAAGATTACACATTGATTTCTTTAATCAAAGTAGAAGATTTTTAAAGTTGGAATAGTGGTAGATAGTTTTACAAAATGGCCGGAAGTTTGACGCTGTAAAAAAACTAATTTATGACAATACCACAACAACTTTTTTGCATGAACTATTTGCATGGTTGATTACGCCAAAGTGTATTGAGTGACAATGGTACACAATTCACTTCTTGAAGAATTTAAGGAATTTTGTGAGTTATATCAAATTAACCACATAAACAAATCCGTATCATCCGAGGTCTAATGGACTCACAGAAAGATTTGTCGATACTTTAAAGCGTGCTCTGAAGAAAGCCTCAGGAGTTCCAACGGAAAAGGCGCTTTTGAATTATTAAAGTATACAGAATCACGCCAAACCAGAGAACACAATCAAACATGGCACCAGCTGAACTAATGTTAGTAGGAAAGTTAAGTCAGTGTTTGACAAGCTTTGCCAGGAAAAATAGAGTAAAAAATACCATGTAACAGCGAAAAAAAGATACACTCCGGAGAAGGTGTTTTTTCAAGATTTTTATAAAAACAACGTTGAGTTCTGGGAATTTTTTCATATTCTGGACAAGTAGAGAATCGGTGACCTGATTTACATATCGATTAAAGGGCACAAGAATACTTATAAAAGGCACCAAAACCAACTTAAAAAGATTACGGTATAGAAAAGAAGAGTGTATACAAATGAGACGAAGATCCCATTGATATAATGTATGATATGTTTCAGGTAGAACCTCCACAGAATACACCTGAACCAAGAAGATCCGGTAAACCTAACAGAAGTTAACGGACCCATTGAACGTGAATCCAAAACGGAAAAAATATTAAAATTAGGCAAATGGATCTACAAAAGAAATAGGAATAATCATCAACCCATATAGGAAGCCAATTTGAAATTTTGGGATTCCAAGGCTTGGGAGGAGGGTGTTGTGTATGATACACCTAATTTACATAAGTGGAGTACCGACCATATAAATATGGGTTGGTACCGGAAGACGAGGGAAGATTAAGAGATCGAATCCAGAGACTCTGCCCGACTGCGACTTAGTCAACCCATTCTGCAGGAACAGTCTTCCCAAGAATATACCAAAACTACCTGTAAATATTGTGTACCTTTTTTCATTGTTTCAATACATTTTGTTACGTACATTTTGTGTTGTATTATTATTATTCCATGCTTATTCAAGCTTCAACAGTACCAAACACAGCTAGAATTAGTTTATCGTTTCTTTTTATCTGAGTTTCATTTATAGCACATTTCAGTGTTTAACCTCATGGAGGATCATGACTTTAGAAATCAAAATATTCACCATTGCTTACTGTATGAATTCAAAAAAAAGTAATACTACTACTATTACAAAGGCATTTAAACATTTGAGGCAGTGTATATAGATGCAGTGAAAATTCATGCTTATCAGCAGTGGTTTAAAAATAGCAATCGTGACCTATCTATAAACCCACCAAAAATGTTGATGATCAATGCCTGGCAGCTTATCTGTTTTTGTAACAGTCCAGTGGTGGGAAAACTGGCTTGTACCTTTCACTTCCAAGCAGATCTGCAATCATGATAAACAGTTGCAGTCTCAAAGAGTCGCTTACTTTGAGCATCTATTGGAACTCACTCTCACCCAAATCTCATGTGGAACTCGTATATACAAACCATCAGTAAAGATGCTCAAAAAATACTCAGCTCTTTAAATATAGAATCAAAAATTAACCTTGCCACTTGCTACAGTCATTGAAAATGAAGGGTATTATATTTTTGATAAATAATATTTGGATATATTCGATACTTTTATTTTTTTCATGTCCTTTCTTCATAATTACTTCCCAAACACCCTAATACTTTGTCAGTTTTTTTAAATAAAAGCTCCAAATGGTTTATATTTTACTTTTTTCTAGGTTCGTATGTGGAGTAATGATCCAGACCAGTTTGTAGAAGATGAAGATGATGACACATTCTCTTATTCGGTGAGGATATCAGCTCAGGATTTGCTCTTGGTTAGTTACAGTTTTTGATTATATAAAAATAAAAATTAAGATATACAAAAATGTCTTATATTAGCCATGAATTAAATTGAATTTCATTAAAATGAAACTTCAATAATTTGACCTTCTAAATTTCTCTTAACACTTACTTACAGCAGTTAATTTTTGTATGTAAATATTTGTCCTGGTGGAATATTTTAATAATTTTGTCTATCGAATCAAATGTTTTGTAAAAAAATTTTACAGCAAAAATATCACCAATAAATTTTAAAAAAGGAGAATGTAACAAATCGATAAATAAGAAAAAAATGAAAGTATAAAATTATCATTAAATATATGAGAACATTTTATTATTGTCATTGCTAAAAAATAAATATTTGAGCGATAAATCATAAAGGAAGAAATTCACTACTGAACCAATAGTTAAAAAAAAAAAAAAAGTAAACAAAATAATGTTATGACACTAAACACTTTTCCTACAAATTTGGAAATACGTCCTCATCTTTTTTCTTTTTCTTTTCTTGCATTTCCTATGATTTCAAAAATTACATTCTTTCATAAAAAAGAAATGTTATGCTTAGATATAGGATTAATCATGCCAGTGTATAAGTAATTTAACAAGTACAATGCATTAAATGTTCCTAATATGACAATTCTTAATGACAACAGATATTCTTAATAAGTAAACTTGCTAAAACACTTACTTTAAAAATAAAACAAAGAAAAAATAAACGAATATGTATTTTAATAATTAAATGCATAGTAATATAACAAAATTATAATAAACAAAATATAAGAATAAATGGATAATTTAAATAAAAACTTCTTTTAAAATGCATAGCTTTCTTTGAGCCATGAAAAAAAAAATGTCCATTCACTCCAACATCAATGTCTAATCCTTACTTATTTTGTTGTTGATTTATTTCTATTATTGTCATTAAATTAATGAGTCACAGTGGTACATTTGATAATGAACTGTTCATTCCAACGTCCAGTGTAAAATATGGTCATTCTTTGTCATGATAGAGGACATGCGTGTCCCAGTGTTCCCAAAAGCAAAACTATGTGGAGTTCCAACTCCTGTAGGGACACCCATGGTGGCAAGGTAGAGGAGAAGGGATCAAACTGAACGTGACCAGTCCCCAAAGACCCCAATGGTGGAATAGGCAAAGATCTATGCAATAGCGACCAAAACAGCAGAAGAGGGTAGTGCGAGTTGGCATGGCATAACCAAGGCAGACCTTGACAGACCAGCCATCCAACAGCCTGATGCTACCACGGGTGCCAGATATCGCTTATCTCAGTCCCTTTTGAGCTGTAAGGGAGGTGCTTCTGGCCAAGTGTGTGGGCTTCTCCATTGCACAGTTGTCCACCAAAATCAAATTCATGCAAATGGCCTTGTTAAACTCTTTGATTAACAGACATCTCTGCCACTAGAGGGGAGAATGGGAATAGGGAGAGGGGATGATGTTTCCAATGTGAGTGGATGCCAATAACGATTATTCAAATTTTATAGAAAACCTTACGTTTTCAATACTAGGAATTTTGGGTATGTTATTTTTTTCTCATTTAAAAAAATATACTAGCTACGAAAATGCTTTTTAAAAATAGATGGGGAATAAATTTGCAAACAAGATAAAATTTTAAAATAAAAAATTAAATGATATTCATTTTTAGAGACTAGAATCAATTTAAAATGATTTCATTTTTAAATGTTTTGGCAAGAATAATTTGTTTCCATTTACAAAACATTTAAGTGAAATTTAAAAAGGATTTTATATCGTTGAAAGGCAAAATATTTCTTAAACATGCTTATTACATTTTGGAAAAGGAAAAGGTAGCTTCTGTTTCCTATTTGAAAAGGAAGAGAACTTGATAAAAAATAAGGGAATCTAAATGTTAAAAAAATCCTATGATTATTTAGTTTCTATTATTTTTTTTTCTATGACTTTTGAACTTCCGTGAAAATTTTGTGTATAAACTTACTTTATATTCAAAATTATCACATTTTGTTGTGACAAGTTCATCCCCCCCCAAAAGATTTGGTTTATTCCACTCAAAAAACACTTAGCTTCTAACAGATCTGGTTTCCTTTTAAGTTAGTGTACCCTTTTCCAGTTGAACTTTTTGAAGATTTGTTAATTTGTTTATTTTTATTTTAGTCTTTAGCAACAGAGTTTCCTAATGAAAGTGCTCCAGCTTTGTGCCATGCATTCACACAACACATACAACAAGCAGAGATGGACAAAAATGCTGGAAACCCTCATTGGTTAGTCATTATAATAGAATTATTCACTGAATAGCTATTCTTTACTTTGTCATAATATTATGTTACTTAATGTTGAAGATGATTGCACAAAGTATAATGCCAATCTTAATTTTAATAATTTAAGATAAGCTAAATAATTAACATTCATAGTGTTTGCATTTCTTAAATAAACCATTCTTAGCTATTTCATGATTTTTACATTCACAACTCCAACACCTTTTTTATTTTTATTCATGCTGCTTACTTAAGAATCATGGGATAACAATTTGGGAGTTTAAGTAAAATACAACAGAAATAAGATGAAAGAAAGACTGATGCAAATTATGAATAACAATGCTTTCTCTTTAATTACAATTACATCTAATACTAGTAAATATAAAAATATGCTGACTAAAATAAAATTACAACACAAAAGGACGATGCCCTTTTTTTTTTTTTTTTTTTTTTTTTTTTTTTTTCATCTGGTTACTATTATGCTTGGGAGTAGGAAATATTGTGATAAAATTTTCTGTCTTTAACCATCTTGTGAAGTAGTATCATTCATAGAACTTTGAGAGATTGATGGTTCAATGTTGGCAACTGTGGTCAAATAAACATTCTTAAATCAGCAGACCATAAAGCAACCACTCATTAAAATCAATGCATTGTAAAGGCATCAGCATTCACAGGTTAGTGCAAATGTGGTAGTGTGTCAACAGAGACTATTACGAATCCTTTATTGTAGCAGGCCTACAGATGTGTGAGCTTCTATCTAGACACGTGTGAAATGTAAACATGATATCTATAGTGGTACATGGGTTTAACTACTGACATCATGTTGTTGAGAGCTTCAGCTCTTTCTCATCTTTGAAGAATACATTGCCATGTATCACCAGAATAATGCAAAACCTGTTCTGTTTCCATTCCTGCCACAGCAAAGCAGTGTGTTGTTCCAGCAGGCTGCCCACATGCCCATGCTACTCCTCATGCTCTAAAATATTCAACACTTTCTCTGGCTAGCATTATTGACAGACCAACAATTACAAACCCACTCTGCCTTTTTCTCCATTCTATAATGGACTAGTTGGCATCTGACCTATAAAAAATTCTGGTATCAACTTGATATTCATCATTCTTCATAAGGAGCTAATATAGTTTGCAATATTCTTGGTGGTTTGTTGCAAATCACTCAGTTGAAAACAAAAGTAAATCCACTCCAATAATAGTTTTGGTTTGTTTTACAGTATATCTTTTCCCAGTTACTTAATGCTAAATTTTGCTGTACAATAAAGTTATGTTTGGATTGCATGAGTCAAAAATATAAACATACTAAACAATTATTTCTTTAATGGGTGGAGTTTTCTGCTCTACAATGTTCATGATCCCCCACGCCACTCCCAACTAACAGAGCAAACTAATAAATAAGTCTGTCAACACAAAATTTATTAAACTTGATTTAGCTTTGTCAGTTCTCTTCTCTCTTTTTTTTTTTTTTTTTTTTTTTCTTGTAAACTTTTCCTCAATTATATCCAGATCTATTAATACTCGTTCACATCCAAGTCCACTGCTTCCAGTCTGCATTCAGATCTATATTATTTATTCCGTAAAATATACATTAAACCATCATGGTCAGATGAATATTCTGAGGAAGCATCTATACACATTTGAGGTTTTTTCTAATAACCCACAATTTAAAGTAGCATATTGCTAAGAATATTATCTGGGAAGGCAGGTTCCCAAAGTATAAGCAGTTTGTTACTTAAGACCTGTTCTTTATTTTTGGCCCAATGCTTCAATAATTGTAAAATGTCTATCTGGGAGTTGCAATAAAATCTAAGTAATTGCTTATTTCTTTACTGGTCAATGGCCTATCAATGTTTGAACTGTTTTCATTTATGTATTTCATACATTTATGAACATTAGGAAAGTCTAAATTATTTTAGAATTAAAATCCTTCCTATAAACTGAATCATTTTTATGTAGGTTAAAATCTTAATATTTTCATCAAACAGATTCAATAATTGTTAATCAATCCTTTAAAACAATTGGAACATGCAAATTTTTTTAGAAACCTTCCTGTTGCTAAATTACATGGAGTATATTGATATTCATTTTTTAATTCTAACTCATTACTCTTGTAGGTGGAAAATTCACGAGTCTTGTCTTTTAGCTTTGGGAAGTGTACGAAATTTATTTGTGGACCATTTAAAAAAAGGAAAGTTACAATTTGATATTAAACACTTCATTGAATCTGTGATTTTAGCAGATATGACTGCTGGTTCAGGTATGTTTCCATTTTATGTTTGTATGTATTTGGATATAATTCTATTCAGTATGATAAATATACATTATATACACTAAATCTTATTTTGCTGTGAATCATTGTTTCATTGAATGTATTATATGTATATTATATAACAGGAAAAAAGAATTAAAATCTAATTTGCTTTATTAGATTGTTTTCTGCAATTTACTTTTGAAATATGAGAATAGGCTGAAAATTTCCTAGGCTGACTTTGTGAGATTTTGCCTGCATTAATTTTGACTGTTCAAAGAAAACTGTTCATCCTCTTGTTCAGAAAAAGTCATCAACAGCAGATGTGTCATCATCACTGTGATACTGGTTCCTAGCCAAATGTTTTTTCATGTTGGAGAACAGATGATAGTCAAATTAGAATAGGTAGTGTGATCAACCAGTTCAAAGCCACAGTCATGCAATTGACTTGTGTGCTAGAGTCCTGAAACAAGATATCTTTCATCAGTTTTCCTGGGCGTTTGGTCTGGATAGTCTTTTGTAACTGCCTCAGCAAGTTGGAATAGTCCTCTCCATTGATGGTGTGGCCCTTTTGAAGATAGTCAATAAACATAATGAACTTTACTGCTTAGCTTTAGAATCAATTAATAAATAATTCCCTTGAAAGGGATTAAGCCTCTATAATCATCGGTTAGCTGTTCAATTTGGGACGGGGGTCATTTATTACGCTCTATTTTTTACCAAATAAAATTGTGTGTACACACACACACACACACACACACACACATTCATTAGGGAATATAAATATGCACCTACCTTACAATTCAGTTTATTTACTAAATTCAATTATTTTTAAACATCATAATTCAGATTTATATTTTTTACTAAGTCCATTCAACACTTTGTCCATTTGACATTTTGTCCTTTGATACTGTCTGCACGTGGAATTTCCTTGGAGGCTAAACCCTTTTACTGCCAGTATTTAATAATGCCATGATGCCAAATTCTGTCCATTTTCAAGAGAAGTTGCTATTAGTTTACATTTGAAGCCTTTAAACAGATGTCAGTTTATCCGGAAAGAAGCAATGCAGTTATTAATGAGAAGAGTTGAAATTAATGCATGCAAGATTTCACAGCTCTAGCATTATCTCATTATAAGTCAACCTATGATGTTTTCAGCCAACCCTCATAGAATGCAGGCATTTTTGTGTGCTATAATTCTAACAGCATCTATTAAGCAATTGTTAATTTGCAGAATATTAAAAGGTTTCTGAAATAGATAATCTGTGTATCAAAAGAAAGCTAATCTAATTAAAAAATTGTGCTTGCAATTTTGTTTTTATATGAAATTCTATTGATTAGATTTTGCGATGTATGAATGTGTTTAATCTGTTAAAATAGAATTAATTTCATTAAACTTTTTTTTTTTCTTAAGTCTCACCATTTTTGATTGGTCGCTGTCTTTGGACTGGTAGTCGGTTTGCAGCCGTAATGGATCCTGAGATAATGGAAAAGTAAAAATGATTTGCTTTTATCATTTGGATATTTTAATCTTAATTTCTTTGTTTTACAATGGAAACTTTTATAACTATGCATTTTTTAGAGATTTAAGTTGGATAATTGTTGTGTACATTATCAACTTGTTTATGGAAATAAATTTTCACATTTAACATTTGTTCCAATATTTGGTTCTAGTCAAGGGGGAAAAAACTAACTTGAAATAAAACACAGGAAAAATATTTTCTTTAATATATTTCTTCTTCCACAGTAAATGAAATAACTATCAATTACACATGAAAAATAGCTGTTGCTGAAAAATATTCTGATGTCCAAAAGAAAACTGTGGTGTCTTAGATTGACAGCTTCTGGGCATACATCAGTACTTCTGCCAGGTACTCATGTAAAAAGGCTATTTGGGAATCTTGTAGAGATTAAGTGTAATAATGCACAACAAACAGAATTGACTAAGTTTCCAATAAACTAAGAAAAGAAAGGAAAAAAAAATGTGCAAAATAATATTAAGCAAACAATATATATGCAAGATAAAACTGGGAAAAGTAACAATAATAAGGCAAAAGGTTCACAAAGAACTGTTCACATGCAAAAGGAATACAGTCAAGTGATTATAGTGTTCTGACTTCAAGACAAGAAAACAAAAATCTCAAAAGTGTTGGAATAATTGGAATATCAAGAAATTAATATTTCCTCTTTTCTAATTACTTCAGTGAGAATAATTACTTCTGACATTTCAGAGAAGCTTCTTAACAGCTAGGAAAGTTTTATTGCTTCTGAAGTGTCTAAAACGCTATAAATTAATTTGCAAAGCTGAAATTTCCCAAGTAGTTATTGCAATAGTTTTGAGTTAATTTCTTCAATTGCATCATTCTACAAAAATCATGCATAATATTTTTACTTGAAATGGCATGTTGCCAACTTTTGTAACCTCAAATGACCTGTTAATAATAGTTGGTACCTTTCAATTATCTATTCAATAAAATTGGATCGGTGAATTTTTTGCTTGGCAGTTATATCCAAACCTGAACATTTACCATCATTAATTCATATGCAATAATCAATTTCAGATTGTAATTTAATTTATAGAAATTACTGATATTTTGTTTATAAAACAGTGATTATTTCTTTTAAGACAATTAACTTTCTTCCAGATTTTTGCAAGCTACAATGACAGGTCTTCACCCCACTCAACCTGCTAGTGTGAGAATATCTGCTGTCAGAGCTGTATTTGGCTTTTGTGAATACTTAAAAAATTGTGGTACAACCCAGATTTTGTTCAACTTTCTCCCAAACATCATGGAAGGTCTTCTCTCTATTACCACTCAGTTTTCATCTAATGTTTTAGCCCTTAGTCTGGAAACTTTGATTGTTGTCTTAGCCGTGAGTGTTCTTCTACTATTGTAACAGTTGTTGACATATTTTCACTTTTTCAAAAAGTACTTTGTTACAAAATCTTTATTTATTTATATATTATCAGCATAAGAATTTAGGTATGTCCAAATATTTTCAACATTTTTATATTTTTTTAAAAACAAATAAATTTTAACTTTAGATGATTAAGTAGATGATATTAAATGTGTATAAGCTTTCAGTTTAACATTTAGTGAGGTAGAATTGAAATGTATTTGTGAAGTTATTAATATTGCTATAACAAGAATAGAAAATTTGTTAGTATCTCTTGAGCTGTTTCTGATGATTGGCATTATATGATGATGTTATCTAAGGAATTTTTTTTCTTTTATTTCTTTTTTTTTCTCTTTTTCCAGATTGATGACAATTTCACAGCGAGTGTTGAAGCTAAAGTTACTCCACTTACCATTGCAGTCTTCCTTAAATACAGTAGTGGTGAGTGCTTACTCTATATTTTTCTAGTGTATCATGAGTAACATATGGTGGTCTTAATGTGTGCACACTGTCCTATTTACTGTTTAAACTCTCACTGTCAAATCTTTATCAATTACCATTTGTAATGTCTCAGTTGATTTTGTTGGTTATTACATTTTATTTATTTCTTCTTTAAATCATATAAATATAAACTTTTATTTATTGATCATATTCTATATCTAATAGCAATATAATTAATAATTACATAGCTTTTTTGCTTTTATAAATTTAGGGCAAAATCTAACTTTTGTTCAGTTTTCTAAAAAATAACATTTACAGATATGTTTTACAAGCACTACTAATCAGTATTTGTATGAATATCACAAATAGTGCTAACAGAAATCGTACCTCTGAAAATGTTTTCATGTAAGCAAACTATTGCCTAACACTAGAGTTTGTCAAATTTTTACATTCTACATACTTTGCTAGACTTACCTATATTTACATTTGAAATTGATAAAATTGTTAGATATTGTGCATGTAAAGAATATATTTAATCTTTGCAGATCCTTTAATTGTCAGTTTAGTAGAAGATATGGTGGGAGTATTAATATAGAAAATGCTCAATATATTTTACCATTACAACAAGATATTTTTGAACTCTTCTGTAAAGCAAGCCCCTCCAGATAATTAAACAGTTGGGTTAATAGCTGTTGAGTATGTTTGTTTTTGTTTTTTTTTTGGGGGGGTTTCTTATTTGAAATACTATTTACAACTCAAATTTGTAAAATATAGAATAATTACAAAAATCTATTTTTTAATATTTAAAAAAAAAATTTTCTGTTAAAATTTGTATTATTCTTCATCATTAATATTTGGCTATATATTGAAAGGAATCTTTTTTTGGAAGATATCTGGATTCTTACATTTGAATGTTATCTTTATATAAATAAAATATGAGTTTTTATAATACCACCTATGAATATTCAATATAGGGTTGACAACTCCTTTTACTCAGCATTAAGCAATCATTCAGCGTGATATTCACTTGGTATCTATTAATAAAATAGTTCTGTAAAAGAACTGCTTTTTACATCTGATCAGAATTTAATGCTTGATGTTTTTTTTTTTTTTAATCTCTTTAAATTATTAACCTTATGAGAATTTATTTCACACTTTTTCTGCCATGAAAAAATCATTTATTTTTGCAAAATATTAGGTTCATAAAATAAAGTCCAATTTTACAATAAGCTGTTTGTGTTCAAATACATTATTATAGTTGCACATAAATATATTACTCTTTCCTAATGATTAAAATGTCCTCTTAATTTTATATCAATCTCTTTCAGAATTTAACTTAAAAAATTATATGCCCCTCATCTTGAACCTGAAAAAAATTTTCATTTACTTTTTTTTTTTTCTGTAGACTTAAGTTGTTCATAATATCTTAGATAAAGCAATAACAGAATTTTATATCTAAAAATTGGATCCAGACTGTTATCTATAAGTATGGTGATAGTTTCTAAAACATACAATAAAAGTCTGGAAGAATCAAGATGGATGACTTGCATTTGAATGACATCCTCTGGTTAGCACTAGTTGAACAAAACCTATTTCAAAGTGTTAATGAAATGTTTCAGATAATAGATTTCAGTATTTCAATAATATCAGAAGAAAATTGGCTAGGTGAAGAAACTTGATAAATGGGTTACACATGTATTCTACATGACAATCTCTCAATAATGTGATCATAAAAAAACACTTTCCAAAACCAAAATTACGCCAACATAAGATTGTGATCTGCAATCAACATTATCCATTAAAGCTTTCTAAAATCTAACCAGATCATTACTGCCAAGGTTTATAGCTAGCACCGGTTGAAATGCAGATTCATTTAAACAAAATGTGATTTGCACTGGTTAATCAATGAGATCTAATTCTGCTTCATGACTTGTTGCCAGGATATCTGCAGAAACTAACTAAAAGTATAAAGATTTTGTCAATTCAAATATTCCATTATGATATCTCACCTAGAGTAAAATAACTTTTTCAACATCTCACAGTTTAAACCAAAAGATATTCTGTTGCAAAGAAGATGCAAAATTTAATGATTCAAAGATTTTTTTGTCATTTAACTCACTATCAGTTTTATCAATCATTAACATAAATAATTAACAAAATTGATAGCAGAAATTTATTTTATGTTTTAAGTGTTCTACCTATTTGTTTCTGATTTAAACACAGTTCTCCACGAATAAATTTTGGCAAATTTAGGTTTGCTTGACTAAAAATATTTGTTCACCCACTGTTCTCTATTTATGTTGTCATCCTCATTTGCATATGATACTAAACCTTCCTGAATCAGAGGGTCACATCCTTGTTTTTTCTTTTATTTCCTGATTCTCATACTGTGCTTTCCTTCCTTTTTTTTTTTTTTTTTTTTTTTTTTGATGATCTTGGTCTTCATTTTCTTTTTCACTCTTGTCTGTCTTTTCACTCTCACTTTCTTCTTTTTCCTGCTGTTTCCATTTTTGTGACTTTCTGTCTCTTCTTGTTCTTCCATTTCCACATCACCAATTTGTTTCTGTTTCTGAATTGATCTGCATGTGCTATTATATTTTGTCCCTTTTTCTCTAGTATAGCCATGTTGTGTCCTTTTTGTATCAGGAAATTTGCTTGTTCTGGCTTAGCTTTTTTATTCTTTCTATACCATAACATTTTGTTTCATTGAAAAGGACATAATTATAAGGGGGCTCTGATTCATCTGCCCATTAATGCCAGAAAGCTCAGCTTGCTTCCTGCATATTGGAATGGATCTATAACTGAGAAGCATTTTCGGTAAATACACTTCTGTGTTTTCATTATGTGATGAAACTGCTTTTAATCCCATTTTCACCATTTGTACCATTCTTTCGACAATGCCATTAGATTGTGGATGATACAGTGGTGTCTTGTATGGGGCACATCCTATCTGTTTCAACCCCACGCATAAATTCTCATCGCAAAATTCAGGTGCATTGTCAGTGACTAGTGTCTGGGGTACTCCATTCCTTGAGAATATCGTTCTTAGTACTTGCTTTATTGTGGTGGCTTTTCTGTCTTTTACTCTGACAACCTCTGGCCACCCTGAATACAAATCCACTAATACTAAGAACAATCCCCTATCTTTGATATGCACATGATCCATGTGAACCCTAACCCATAGCTCTGTTTCCTTGGGCCATGAGTTGAATTTTTTTTTTTCCACTTGAAATTTTTTTGATTTCTACCATTTTAACATCCTTAATATAATGTCCTTTCTCACATCTTTTGAATACACTTGTATATTACCAAACTTGTAACTTTCTTTGTTTCATTAAAGGGTTGCTCTGCCATCAAACAATTGCTCCATACATTATTTTTTATTCTCTCCACTATTCTGCTTAATACTGGGTCTTGCTTTGTTTCTATTTTGAGTTTATTTAGTGGAAGAACATCCATTTCAACCCAGTGTATTATTTTATCTTCAGCTTTTCCTGTTTTCTTCTGTTTCATTTTTGAAATGCAATCTTGATAAAGCATCTATGTAAGGGATAGTGTTCCTTTTACATATATTATGTCAAAATCGAATGCCATCATCTTTATTGCCCATCTCAAAATCCTTGACGATGTTACTTTTGGCAATTCTTTTCTCTGGTTAAATATGAATTCCAATGGCTTGTGATCAGATTTTAATAAGAATTTCTTACCAAAAAATTTTGTGCCTTTTCCATGCTCCATATAACCGCCAATGCTTCTTTTTCAATATTTGAGTAGTTAAACTTAGCTGGCGTTAACCTTCTTGATATGTACATGATAAGGTGTTCTTCCTGCAATACAATAGCAGCAATTGCCTTTTCACTTGCATATGTTACTTCTTTTTGTGGATCAAAAACTTTTATTATTGGTTTGCTCCTCAGTATTTTCTTTACTGTATCAAAAGCGATAGTTTGCTCTGGTGTCCAGTTAAATTCATTATTTTTCTTGCATAATTTTGCAAATGGCTCTATTATGTTGCTGTATCTTGGAATGTATTTACTATAAAAATTTATCAGCCCCAAAAAGGATTCTAACTCCTTTTTCTTTGTTGGAGGAGCTATTTCCTTTATTTTCTTTTGTTAATCTCTCATCAGGTGATATGCCTTCTTTCGATATATGATATCCTAGATATATCTTCTTGCTGTCAAAACTACATTTGTCTTTGTTTATAGTCATGCCTGCCTTGTTCACCCTCACTAAAATTTGCTGTTTTATATTTCAATTCTTCTTTTCTCTTTTTTTTTTTTTTCATTTTTTTTTTGTGTGTGTGTGTGTATTTCAGCCTCCTCTTCAGAGGAGTTTGGTATTTTTTGTATGTTCTGAAAATGGCCTCTTTTGCAATTTGAGCGTACTTTTCCTAATGCGAAATATTTGTACTTGTCTCTTTCGGTATTTTTTCCACAGCATCTACATTTAATTATAGACTTGGTCGTGCTTGTCCTGTATGTCTCGAATTCTTTTGGTTGATTAAAGTCTTTAATTAACTGTTGTTAAAAAAGAAAAAAAAAATTTGATGCTAGCCTCCAAACTCATGTTACAACTTTGTGAAGCTTCCAGTATTTTTCATTTGTGGTTCTGGTCTTGCAAACCTTCAATTATCCTGAAAAGAATTAATTTATCTTCTATGGTCATTTCCTGAGTTCCCAATTTTTCAAACTCACAGTACTTAATACATTCTTTTAATCTATGTAAGTACTGTATAATGGACTCATTTGGTGCTTGTCTTGTCTCTAAAAACTTGGTTCTTTCAGCAACAACAATCTTTTCTTTGGTCTTATGTTCGTTTTTATAACTTTGACAATTTCTTCAAATGTCATTTGTTCTAATTCACTCAGGTAACACATTGTCGAAAATTTCTTCACTGCTTCACACCCAGCAATAGCAAGAAATAAATCCATTGTCTCGTTTTCTACTCCTTTGGTCTTGGTATCTCTTAGTTTTTTTTATTCTTGCAAATGCTGAAAAAATTCTGATCCATGTCTCTCTGTTCAGGATGTTCCAATGCATTCAAGCATCCTATCAGTGACGCCATTGTTGTGATGTGTATTTCTCTCTTAGTAGTATCAATCGTAGCACAGTTCTCCATGTTATGTTTAGCAAACAGGTTCGCTGACTAATGCTGCTTTGTTCACCCTCTGCTCTCTATTTATGTTGTCATCCTCATTTGCATATGATACTACTATCAGAAAGAGTAATACAGATGCAGAAGGACGTGTACCTGTTTCATAGACGACACAAAGGTTTTCGACAAAGTACACCACAAGGATCTGATGAAACTGCTCAGCAACCTCGATATATTCTGGAAGATATCAGAATAATCAAGAATTTATACTGGCAGCAAACAGCATGCATGCACATAGGGAACGAGTTCAGTGAATACACAAAAATAGAAAGGGGCGTATGGCAAGGATGCGTCTTCTTACCGTGTGTGAGAAAACTGGGGGGGGGCAACTTCTTGCGACACAAAAACGAACACCTTCTTGCGAACCTGAAATGAATGTGACACGAAAACAAACACCTACTTACGACACGAAAACGAACGCCTTCTTGCAAACCTGAAACTAAGGCAACACAAAAAAACTAACACCTTCTTGCGAATGAACACTTTACGACAGCAAATGTGCAAAACAGCATCCAAGACTGCTGCCAACGGATGACCGACCGCAACGGCTTGTGCCGCCCAAGAAAAGACACGAAACGACTCGTGCGTCTTCTTCTTGTAGTCCTCGGTCGAGTCCATTATGGTACTCGAAGGTGTGCCCGGCGACAACACACACACGCAGTTCGAGGACGTTTCCGCGCATGCTTGTTACACTCCTCCCTAATCTCTAGATCACACAAATGGCAATGTGGGGCAGGCCGTTTCTGCCTGGTGCTCTGTCTCAGTGGTATGGTCTCAAGCGCTTCCTCAGTGGTGCTCTCTTCAGATGTCTCGCTGAGCTCATCCCGCATAGGTTCATCAGGCATGCTACTCTCTGAGGTGTGCTCTTCCTTTGATTTTATATATACCATCGGGGCTTCATCATCTTCATCATCAGAAGAAGAACTAACGTGGTTGCTGATGGAATAATCCTTCCTGCACGCTGGAAGCACATCTTTCATGTGGCGCAGTATTCCATCAACAGACGGAGTGTGGGCTATTAATTTGTGTCACCGTACCCTTGTTGAACTGTGTCGTACACCTTCCGTGTGGATTTTTCATCCAGGCAGTCTCTCCTACCGTATAAGGATTGGCAACTCTGTCGTCACACACCAAAGCTGCGTCGATACCCTTAATGCGGACACTGTAAGTGTAGGTTGCATTCACCGGTGCAGTTGAAGCTGTTTTATTGTTCATTGGGGTAACATTGTGCCAATATACAGCTTCCAAAACTGAACACCATGTTCTCGTCGCGATGCGCATTATTGTACGATGGGATCTCTCAAATATCCCATTCCCCAATGGTACGTGGGCACAGCGAAATCGTATTTGTACATTCCACATCTTTGCAAACGTGGCAAACCTCTCTCCACAAAACGCTACTTCCAGCTCCTTGATGATGCTAGCAGAGTCTTGGCGGTGCAAGGGCTTCCAAATGGCAAAACAACTGGGGCCGCAGTCTATCAGCGTCAGGTATAGTTGATGTCTGAAATGGGTTACATCCATCACAACCCTGTGCCAATTTTCCGAGACATCAAGCCTTCCCGGTTTCCGACGCACAGGGGCCGGGTCGATTGACTGGCATTCCTTGCATCCCCTAACCACCGCTCGCACCTCAGCTTTTGTTACTCTTGGGTCGATCAACTTCACAAAATAGATTTCTCTTCACACCAGGATGTCCGCTGGATTGATGAATGGCTTGTACTTGAGCAACATCTCGCTCTTCAGCCACAGTGCACATAGGTTCTCTGGGTTCCGTTATTTTGCGCATTTCATTTAACCATCGCTGCGGTACTCTAGTAAGTTGGTCGGCTCGATTGTTGCATGACTTGACAAGCTCCCTATCAATGTCCAGCTCGTATTCTAAGGTCAACTCTTGGAGTGTGGCTAGCAAACGTCTGATTAACATCTCGGAGGCTGCCTTGGTGTGCATTCTCGTCCGTCCGGACAGTGTCAGCTACCCAGCAATGCACACATGCTGAGTCTGTCCATAAATGAATGGTTTTGGCCTTCCATTGTAATGCAAGGTTGACACCTCGCAACACAGCATCGAGCTCAGCCAAGTTTATGTGCTTGTCTTCGTGCACCGGTCGGAGCCAGCTTGCGTCTTCTGCCACGTTGCCATTTTTCTCCACAACCACACCGGTGGCTAAGGAGCTTGGTTAGATTTTGCTCACTGATGTACCAGTCACCTTTCACTGGATTGTCCTGGTCTAGTCTCTTAAAAATGTTGTCGATCATCTGGGCTAGAAAAGGGTCCTGCACTTCATCATCCCATCCAGTGGTAACAGTGTTTGCCCTCCGCTTCACAACTTCTTGCGACACAAAAACGAACGCCTTCTTGCTAACCTGAAACAAATGCGACACGAAAACGAACCCTACTTGCGACACGAAAACAAACGCCTACTACTTTACGACAGCAAACGAGCAAAACGGCACCCAAGACTGCTGCCAACGGACGACCGACCGCAACGGCTTGTGTCACCCAAGAAAAGATACCAAACGACTCGTGCGTCTTCTTGTAATCCTCAGTCGAGTCCATTATGGTACTCGAAGGTGTGCCCAACGACAACACACACACGCTGTTCGAGGACGTTTCCGCGCATGCTCATTACATACCTGACCTGTTTAACCTATACAGCGAGGTGATTCTGAGAAAATTGGAAGTCCTACTGGGATTTAGCATTGGCAGCCACATTCTTAACAACATAAGATACACAGATGGCACAATACTGATAGCAGACACGGAAATGAAATTACAAAATTTCCTACATAAGGTAACGACGGAGAGTGAGAGAAGGGACTACAAGACGGAGTGCATTGTCGTCAGTAAGAGGATGAGCCTGAAATGCAATCTGAAGGTCAGGAACACTAGAATCAAGCAGATGCGGAAGTTTAAATACCTGGGAAGGGTCTTGACAATAAGTGCAACACAGAGATCCATAGGCGTATTGGGATAGCCAAGGACACGTTCCAAAAACTTGGCAGAGTATTGCGAGACAGGAGGATATCTTTGGTAACAAAGAAAAGAATACTGAACTGTTACATGACATCTGTTTTTTACAGCAGTGAATGTTGAACAATTTCCTCAAAGATGAAGAGACTCTCGGTGAGAGATGTGGTTCTACAGGAGGATACTAAGGATATCATGGACCAAGCATGTGAGCAACGATGAGATCTTAGAGAGATTGTAAACAATGAGGAGGTTTATATTTAATATCAGGAAGTTTCTGGAACACATAATGAGGAAGGAGGGCCTGGAGAATCTGGTACTCACAGGTCAAACAGAGGGAAAGAGAGATAAGGGAAAACAATGCATGATATCCCTGGCACTTAAGCAACTGGATGATAGAACGTGGTCTGGTGGAGGAAGCAGAGGGAAGGAATTTGTTGAGAGCTGCAAGGGATAGAGGGAGGTGGAGAACCATGATCCCCTACGTCCTGAAAGTACCTGGCACATAAAAAGAAAGAATACCACTATTATGTGGATGATTTCATACAATTTTTAATTCTATCCGCTTTACAAGATAGAAAGTGTTCACAGTTCCTGAAGGAGTTTGGTTTTACATTAAAAAGTTTACAATAGAAACTCTTCATTGCAGTAAATTTTGCCACTTGAACTGGGCATTAATTCTATTCTTGCCAAACCAATAAATAAAACTTGCATCAAAAACTGGAAGGTAATCTAATTTTAATTAGTCTATTTCTTGAATTTTAAGGACACCAATAGTCATTAATCACTGACCTATAACACACTGCTGGTTGTTACTTTTAATTAACCAGCTTTTTATATTGGCACTCCACAGAAATCATTTCTCTGAGTATTTTCAGTTTTGTTGGAACAACACTCAACTAAAATATTTCAGATTCTTTATAGCCCTGATAGTACTCCTCATGTCACTGATTTTGTCCACAATTTTATGTAGATAAGGAAAACAGATTGTCCATGCCATTAGAATTAAACCCATTTTTCTTTCATCTAACTGATGGACATGTATTACTGTCTTGCTGGATTATATTAATTCTGAGTTTGAATCTCCAGCTCATCCTATGCTGTTTTTTTTTTTGTTTTTTTTTTCTTTTTATTATTATTATTATTATTTCTCAAATTGGAACATTTTATGTCAAGTCAACCAGCAATTTTTCAAATTGACACCACCTCCATCAAAACTTTTCCATATTTTTACAGTAGTCAGATACACTAAACAGAAGAGTAATTTCTGAGTTAGAGCTTCTCAAATTTATTGGAATATATTTTTCATTACAATTCAAAATTGGGGCAGTTTAGGAAGAATTATATAGTTTCTATGTCCATTAGATTTTGCAAAACATAAATTTGGGGGAAAGCCTTTCCATTCAACTTTCAAAAGAGAAAAAATATAAATGATTCAATGCAGTAAAAACTTAAATGTTTTTCTGAGCAATCACAAGTATGACTTTGAAAATGTAATATCAAATTGCATATGATACCTTCATAATTAAATCATGCTGTAAAATTCAAATAAAACATTTATCCGCATATCTTGATAAGGAAAATTTTAAGAGTGATATCTAAAATTGAATTCTTACAGGATAATATTTTATTCAGTTGAAATAAGATACTAGTGTAACTGCAGACATTTTTATGTGGATTCAGCTATGAAAGTAATTTTGGGTTCAGTTTAATATATAACAAATATGTTTAAGATACAAAATAAGTTTATGAAGAAAAATTATTTCAAGTTTTTGGCTATTTATCTTGCTCTCTGAGTAAAATGTTACATCTTCTTCTTGTCACATGATGGCCAGTAAGTTTTCAGCAAGCTCATGAAGATACACGAATTTTAAAGTGGCATCTCTCTCTCTCCTCAGAGTTTATTTTTAAAAAATGATAACCAACTAATAATAACTCATATTTACAGGTGGCATAATCCATTGGCTTCAATGACTACACTATATATACTCATCAGCATCATCAGTAGTGTTTAAGATGTGTGATGGAAAGCACTGAATCCTCAGCCAGTTACTTTCCTTTTATCAAAGATTTTGTTTCAGGTTCAAAGTGATACATGTACTGAGAACAGTATTTCTCAGTTGGTATCTGTAATGGGATTGGTTTAGCTAATAGGTAATTAGCATAAAGAGAGCTATAACTATAGCTCACAAGCAACTTTGAGTCAGTGTATGTAGAATATCTACAGCTATTGTTTGATCATCATAACAAAATGGCGTCACCTGACAGAGCTCAAACACAAAAGAACCTGAAAACGTAAAGATTTGGATAAAATGCTTTGAGGTACATGCCAGAATAAAGAATTATATGACCAAACACCTGAAGGACAGAAAGAAATCGCGGATCTATTTTTGGCCACTGCAGGATGCGAAGCCATTAGGCAGATTTTGTTAATGACTTACCGGGCTGAAATTGAAAACTTGCCATTAAAAGAAATCGGAAATAATATTGAGAATATATTCAATCAAAGAAAAGATTGATCATAGCCGAATGAACCAAATTCTTATCATTGAAACAAGAATTTGGGGAGCCTATAAGGAAATATCTAAGAAGGTTAAGAGATACCAGCACATATTGTGAATTTCATGAACTAGGACAACAAGAGATAAACACAGAGGAAAAATTCAACTTCGATTGGTACAAGGACTGTACAATACATCATAGAGTAAAAATTTTAGAGCGGTTACAAACCAAATGACTTTAAAAGCTTGTATTGACTTCATACAAGTTAATTGAAAAATTTAATACAAATGAAAACCAACACCTGAGCTTATGGACACATGTGAAATAAGAACAATGATGAAATACAGATATTGCAACTATAAACATGAATCAAAGAGAGAAATG